GATACAGGCACTGGGGAGATACATTACTGAGGAGATATAGGCACTGGGGAGATACAGGTACTGGGGAGAGAAATTGGGTTAGATACAGGTACTAGGGAGATACAGGTACTGGGAGATACAGTTACTGAGGAGATAGGTACTGGGGAGATACAGGTACTGGGAGATACAGTTACCGAGGAGATATAGGTACCCGGGGAGATACAGGTACTGGGGGAGATACACAGGCACTGGAAGATACAGGTACTGGGGAGGATAGTACTGGGAAGATACACAGGTACTGGGAGACAAGGCAGTTACTGGAGGAGATATAGGTACTGGGATACAGGTACTGGGGAGATACAGGTACTGGGAAGATACAGGTCTCTGGGAGATACAGGCATTGGGGAGATACAGATACTGGGGAGATACAGGTTCTGGGAGATACAGGTACTGGGAAGATACAGGTACTGGGATACAGGTCCTGGGGAGATACAGGCATTGGGAGATACAGGTCTCTGTGAGATACAGGCACTGGAAGATACAGGTACTGGGGAGATACAGGTTCTGGGAAGATACAGGTACTGGGAGATACAGGTTCTGGGGAGATACAGGTACTGGGAGATACAGGCACTGGGGAGATATTATACTGGGAAGATACAGGTACTGGGAGATACAGGTACCGGGAAGATACAGGTACTGGGGAGATACAGGTACTGGGGAGATACAGGTACTGGGAGATACAGTACTGAAGATACAGGTACTGGGGAGGATGGCACTGGGGAGATACAGGTACTGGGGAGATACAGGTACTGGGAGATACAGGCACTGGGGAGATACAGGTACCGGGAAGATACAGGTACTGGGAGATACAGGTACTGGAAGATACAGGTACTGGGGAGATACAGGCACTGGGAGATACAGGTTCCTGGGGAGATACAGGCACTGGGGAGATACAGGCACTGGGGAGATACGGGTACTGGGAGATACAGGTACTGGCGAGATACAGGTACTGGGGAGATGCAGGTACTGGGAGATACAGGTCTCCGGCGAGATACAAGTACTGGGAGATACAGGTACTGGCAAGATACAGGTACTGGGGAGATACAGGTACTGGGGAGATACAGGTACTGGGGTGATACAGGTACTGGGGAGATACAGGCCCTGGGAGATACAGGTACTGGGGAGACACAGGTACTGGGGAGATACAGGTACTGGGGAGATACAGGTTCTGGCGAGATACAGGTACTGGGGAGATACAGGTGCCCAGGGAGATACAGGCACTGGGAGACACAGGCTCTTTGGGTAGATACAGGTACTGGGGAGATACAGGTACTGGGGAGATACAGGTATCGGAGAGGAGATACAGGTACCTGGGAGTTACAGGTACTGGGGAGATACAGGTACTGGGAGATACAGGTAATGGAGAGATACAGGTACTGGGAGATGCAGGTACTGGGAGATACAGGTACCAAGTGAGATACAGGTACTGGGAGATACAGGTACTGGGGAGATGCAGGTTCTGGGAGATACAGGTACTGGGGAGTTACAGGTACCTCGAGATACAGGTACTGGGGAGATACAGGTAGAATGGAGAGATACAGGCACTGGGAGATGCAGGTACTGGGGAGATACAGGTACTGGTTAGATACAGGTACTGGGAGATACAGGTACTGGGAGATACAGGTACTCAGGGAGATACAGGCACGAGGAGTTACAGGTACCGGGGAGATACAGGTTCTGGGAGATACAGGCACTGGGGAGTTACAGGTACTGGGAGATACAGGTACTGGGGGAGATACAGGTATCGGAGAGATACAGGTACTGGGGAGATGCAGGCACTGGGAGATACAGGTACTGGGGAGATGCAGGCACTGGGAGATACAGGTACTGGGGAGATACAGGCACTAGGGAGATACAGGTACTGGGAGTTACAGGTACCTCGGGGAGATACAGGTATCGGAGAGATACAGGTACTGGGAGATACAGGTACTGGGGAGATACAGGTACTGGGGAGATACAGGCATCGGAGAGATACAGGTACTGGGGAGATACAGGTACTGGGGAGATACAGGTACTGGGGAGATGCAGGTACTGGGGAGATACAGGTACCGGGGGAGATACAGGTACTAGGGAGATACAGGTACCTGGGGAGTTACAGGCATCGAGAGATACAGGCACGAGAGACACAGGCACTGGGGAGATACACAGGCACTGGGAGACACAGGTTCTTGGGGGAGACAGGCCTGGGAGATACAGGCACTGGTTAGATACAGGCAATTGGGGGATACAGGTACTGGGGAGATACAGGTACTAGGGAGATACAGGTACTGGGAGTTACAGGTACTGGGGAGATACAGGTATCGGAGAGATACAGGTACTGGGAGATACAGGTACTGGGGAGATACAGGTACTGGGGAGATGCAGGTATCGGAGAGATACAGGTACTGGGGAGATACAGGTACTGGGGAGATACAGGTACTGGGGAGATGCAGGTACTGGGGAGATACAGGTACCGGGGGAGATACAGGTACTAGGGAGATACAGGTACTGGGGAGTTACAGGATCGAGAGATACAGGCACGAGAGATGCAGGTACTGAGAAGGACTGGGAGATACAGGTTCGGGGAGACAGGTTCTGGGAGATACAGGTACTGGAGATACAGGCATGGGGAGATAGCACGGAGAGACTGGGAGATACAGGTCTGGGAGATAGGTTCTGGAAAGATACTGGTATGGGGAGATGCAGGTACTGGGAGATACAGGTTCTGGGAAGATACAGGTACTGGGGAGATACAGGTTCTGGGAAGATACAGGTACCAAGGATACAGGTACTGGGGAGATACAGGTACTGGGGAGATACAGGTACAGGAGAGATACAGGTACTGGGGACAGGTCGGAGGAGAGGTACTGGGGAGATACAGGTTCTGGGAAGATACAGGTACTGGGGAGATCAGGTACTGGGAATACAGGTACTGGGAAGATACAGGTACTGGGGAGATACAGGTTCTGGGAAGATACAGGTACTGGGGAGATACAGGTACTGGGAGATACAGGTACTGGGAGATACATGTACGGGGAGATACAGGTACTGGGGAGATACAGGTACTGGGGAGATACAGGTTCTGGGAAGATACAGGTACTGGGAGATACAGGACAGATACAGGTATTGGGAGATACAGGTACTGATTAGATACGGTACTGGGGAGATACAGGTACTGGGGAGATGCAGGTACTGGGAGGATGCAGGTACTGGGGATCAGGTACTGGGGATATAGGTCTGGGGAGATCAGGTACTGGGGATACAGGTGCTGGGGAATCAGGTCTGGGGATGCAGGTGCTGGGGATGCAGGTGCTGGGGAGATCAGGTACTGGGAGATGCAGGTGCTGGGGAGATGCAGGTATTGGGATGCATGTTACTGGAGATACATGTACTGGGAAGGCACATGTACTGGGAAGATGCAGGTACTGGGGAGATACAGGTGGGAGATGCAGGTGCTGGGGAGATGCAGGTACTGGGAAGATACAGGTATTGGGGATGACATGTTGCTGGAGATACATGTACTGGGAGAGATACAGGTACTGGGGAGATATAGGTACTGGGGATGGTGCTGGGGATGGGTGCTGGGGAGATGCAGGTATCGGAGATACAGGTCTGGGAATGCAGGTACTGGAGATGCAGGTACTGGGAATACAGGTTCTGGGAATGCAGTTCTGGAAGATCACTGTGGAATGCAGGTCTGGGGATACAGGTACTGGGAGATGCAGGTACGGGAGATACAGGTTCTGGGAAGATACAGGTACTGGGGAGATACAGGTACTGGGGATACAGTATCGGAGATGCAGGTACTGGGAGATACGGGTACTGGGGAGATACAGGTCTGGGGATGGTCTGGGAGTCAGGTACTGGGATACAGGTACAGGAGATACAGGTACTGGGGATGAGTACGGTATCGGAGATATACAGGTACTGGGGAGATACAGGTACTGGGGAGATACAGGTTCTGGGGAGATGCAGGTTCTGGGGAGATGCAGGTGCTGGAGATCAGTCGAGGGATACAGGTACGGTAATGCAGGTACAGGAGATACAGGTCGGAGATACAGGTCTGGAAGATGCTGGTACTGGGAGATGCAGGTGCTGGGGATGTCTGGGAGATGCAGGTACTGGGGATGCAGGTTCTGGGAGATACAGGCTGGGACGTGCAGGTACTGGGGATCGGTCTGGGAGATAGGTGGGGAGATACAGGTACTGGGGGATACAGGTGCTGGGGAGATGCAGGTACTGGGGAATCCAGGTACTGGGAATGCAGGTTGGAGATGCAGGCTGGGCGGATGCAGGTACTGGGGAGATACAGGTACTGGGGAGATACAGGTAAAGTCTGGAGATACAGGTACTGGGAGATACAGGTACTGGGGATACAGGTGCTGGGAAGATACAGGTCGAGTACAGGTCTGAATCAGGTACTGGGAAGATCAGGTGGGAGATACATGTTCTGGAGATGCATGTGCGGAGAATGCATGTACTGGGACGGTCTGGGGGATCGTTGGGAGATACAGGTGCTGGGGATACAGGTACTGGAGATCAGGTTGGAAGATGTTCGGAGATACATGTCTGAATCAGTCTGGATATGTCTGGGGATCAGGTCTGGGGGATCAGGTCTGGGGATACAGGTATCGGAGATACAGGTACTGGGGAGATACAGGTACTGGTTAGATACAGTTGCTGAGGAGATGCAGGTTCTGAGGATACAGGTTCTGGAAGATACTTTGGTGCTGAGATGCAGGTGCTGAGGGAGATACAGGTTCTGGGAGAATCTGCAGGTACAGGGAGATACTGCAGGTTCTGGGAAGATGCAGGTACAGGGAGATGCAGGTGCTGGGGAATGCAAGGTATCGAGGAGATGCAGGTACTGAGGGAGATGCAGGGTGCTGGGGAGATGCAGGTACTGGGGAGATGCTGGGTACTGGGGAGATGCAGGTACTGGGGGGAGATACAGGTACTAGGGAGATACAGGTGCTGGGGGGTTACAGGTATCGGAGATACAGGTATCGGGGAATACAGGTACCACTGGGGAGATGCAGGTACTGGGGAGATACAGGTTCTGGGAGATGCAGGTTCTGGGGAGATACAGGTGCTGTGTGGTTAGATACAGGTGCTGGGGAGATGCAGGTACTGGTTAGATACAGGCCACTGGGGAATACAGATTTCTGGGGAGATGCAGGTTCTGGAAGATACTGAGTACTGAGGAGATAGGTGCTGAGGAATGGGTTCTGGAAGATACAGGTACTGAGAATGCAGGTTCTGGAAAGATACAGGTACTGGGGCATTACAGGTACTGGGGAATACTGTTGCTGAGGGAATGCAGGCTGGGAGATACAGGTGCTGGGGAGATACAGGTTCCTGGAAGATGCTGGTGTGGGAGATGCAGGTGCTGGGGGAGATGCAGGTTCTGGAGATGGGCTGGGGAATGCAGGTACTGGGGAGATGCAGGTGCTGACCTGGTACTGAGGAGATACAGGTTCTGGGAGATGCAGGTACTGGGAGATGCAGGTGCTGGGGAGATGCAGGCACTGGGGAGATGCAGTGCTGGAATGCAGGTGCTGGGAAGATACAGGTACTGGGGAGTGCAGGTTCTGGGCAGATGCAGGTGCTGAGGATGCAGGTGCTGGAGATGCAGGTGTTGGGATGCAGGTGCTGGTTGAATGCAGGTGCTGAGGAGAATGCAGGTGCTGAGGAGATGCAGGTGCTGGGAAGATGCAGGTGCTGGAATGCAGATTGCTGGGGAGATGTGGTGCTGGGGGAAATGCAGGTGCTGGGGAGATGCAGGTGCAGGTGCAGGTACTGGGAGATGCAGGTGCTGGGGAGATGCAGGTGCTGGGGGAGATACAGGTGCTGGGGAGATGCAGGTACTGGGAAGATGCAGGTGTGGGAGATGCATGTTGCTGGAGATGCATGTGCTGGAGAGAATACGTAACAGGAGAATGCACAGGTACAAGGAGATACAGGTATTTGGGGAGTGCAGGTGCAGGATACAGGTGCAGGAGTGCAGGTGGAGATTGCATGTTGCTGGAGATACGTGGCTAACAGGAGATGCAGGTGCTGTGGGAGATATGGGTGCTGGAGATGCAGGTGCTGGGGAGATGCAGGTGCTGGAGGATATGGGTGCTGGAGATGCAGGTGCTGGGAGATGCAGATTGCTGGGGGAGATGCAGGTGCTGGAGATGCAGGTGCTGGGGAGATGCAGGTACTGGGAGAGATACAGGTGCTGGGGAGATGCAGGTTCTGGGCAGATGCAGGTGCTGGGGAATGCAGGTACTGCAGGGGAGATGCAGGTGGGGAATGCAGGTACTGGTTAGATGGTACTGGGGAATGCAGGTGCTGGAGAGCAGGTACTGGGAAGATGGTGCTGGGGAGATGCAGGTGCACAGGGGAGAATATGGTGCTGAGGATGCAGGTGCTGGGGAGATGCAGGCACAGAGTCTGGTGCCAGGAGATGCAGATGCCAGAGTGCTGGAGATGCAGGTATGAGGATGCAGGTGCTGGGGAAGATGCAGGTGGGAGATGCATGTTGCTGGAGATACACTGGAAGATGCATGTGCTGGGGAAGGTATGCAGGTGCTGGGGAATGCAGGTATTGGGGAATGCAGGTGCTGGGGAGATGCAGGTACTGGGGAAGATGCAGGTGGAATGCATGTTGCTGGAGACCATGTGCTGGGGAAGATCTGCAGTGCTGGGAGATATGGGTACTGGGGAGATACAGGTACTACAGGGAGATACAGGTACTGGGGAATATGGTGCTGAGAATGCAGGTAACAGGATGCAATTGCTGGGAGATGCAGGTATGGGGAAGATACAGGTGCTGGAGATGCAGGTGTGGAGATGCAGATTGCTGGGAGATGCAGGTGCTGGAAGATGCAGGTACTGGGGAGATACAGGTGCTGGGGAGATGGTGCTGGGGAGATGCAGGTTGCTGGGAAGATACAGGTGCTGGGGAGAATGCAGGAACGCAGGTACTGGAAGATACAGGGCAGGTTGAGAAATACAGATACGGAGAAATTTGATGTGTGGATCATGGCAGCCGTGGTTCCAGTTGAGTCGCCAGTCGCCAAATATACGAACAATTTTGTAAACTTGTCATGATCTAAAATATCGATGAATTATTATTATAACTATGCTACCTTTGGATTGTTTAATATTTATCCTGACAGATACAGCCGAAAATATATCCACGAATCACAATCACCATTACATACAGCCTTACGAGTGTGAGACCCAGGGTGAAGAATTGCATTTTGGTTGACTAAATAAATTATTCTAACTGTATTTTGTTATAGGTTATTATTTCGTTTAATTAAGCATCATTTAGTTCTTAATTATTCTTCCTTGTTATTGTTATTTTATTCATGATCAATAAATAACTCGACACTTTAACAGAAAAATGGCTCTAAAGTGTTAGTCAATCAGATGAAACAATTAGCCAATGTATCTCTTTTTTATTTACCAGTTTTCGTTCTTGATGCCATTAATAAGTGTCCGTCAATAAGTGGCTTCTGGTTGCCTTTTTATCCCCTGCAACAGATAAATGATGCGGAAGATAGACGTCACATTGCTGAGTGTGTTGTCACCTGGGAATAAAACAGCCTTGTTGTTTGTTTGTTTGTGTGTGTGTGTGTGTGTTTTGAGGCTTTGCTTGGTGTTTGTCTGTTTCTGGTCTCTCTCTATCACTGTTCCATCTCTCAAATCCTTCCCTCATTTAACCCCTCTCCTTCCCTCCTCCCTCCTTCCCTCCTTCCTTCCTCCTTCCTTCCTCCTTCCTTCCTTCTCTCCTCCCTCTCTCCATCATTTCACGCCCCATAACATATCTCTCTCCAAAACAGCTGATTAAGAGTAACATTTCCAGACCGGGTTAGGTAAAGACTTGAGTGAGAGGTCAAGCTGTTCTCACCTCTGACCTCTGACACTTTGACCTCTGACTTCCTTGTGTCGTCGTTCCTGGAGTCGTACGTCGAGGAAGACACCAGCACACCTCAAGGTCGGAGACGACTGAGACTATGAAGCAACACCTAGTTAACCTCCGCAGACGTACCTAAGGTTATCTAACCTAACCTAACCTAACCTAACCCCACCTAGCCTAACCTAGCCTAACCTAACCCAACTTAACCAAACCCAACCCAGTCCAACCTAGCCCAACCCAACACAACCCAACACAACCCAGCCTAACACAACCCAACCTAATCTAACCCAACCCAACCCAACCCAACCTAACCCAACCCAGCCCAGCCTACCAACCCAACCCAGCCTAACCCAACCCAACCCAACCCAGCCTAACCCAACCCAACCCAACCTAACCCAACCCAACCCAACCCAACCCAACCCAACCCAACCCAACCCAACCCAACCCAACCCAACCCAACCCAACCTAACCCAACCCAACCTAACCCAACCCAACCCAGCCCAACCCAACCCAACCTAACCCAGCCTAACCCAACCCAACCCAACCTAACCTAACCTAACCCAACCCAACCCAACCTAACCTAACCTAACCTAACTCAACCTAACCTAACCTAACCTAACCTCGTCCCATGTAGGATATTTACTCATCAGGTGAACTAAGCTATAAGGCGGCTAACCTTCAACGGATCATTTTATATATAGATTAAGTTATAAAGAACACATACAATAATTCCCATAGAGTTAAAGTATCATACAAGGTGAGTTAAAAGTTACGTTACTCACTTATACTTGACGTAACAAAGGTAAAGTATGTTAAGTATGGTTAGTTAAACAGAGGGTGATACTTAAAGACAAAGTTTTTTTCCCAGTGGAGATAATTATAATATAAAACCCATCCTGGGAGAAAAAGATTATACTATATTTCGTTTTCATCTCGGCCTTAATTACAAAGATGTATTTTACGAGGCACTATTTTTCTGGGTTAGCATAAAGGGTGTTTAGGCGTAATTTATATAATGATGAGGTAAAGAATTATTTTTTCACCTTCCTGGAGCTAAAGTTGGTGTGTGTGTGTGTGTGTGTGTGTGTGTGTGTGTGTGTGTGTATGTGTGTGTGTGTCCATATCTGTTTGAAGTGTGTTTACATTGTCAGTCCCAGCTATACGTGACGTCACTGGTCTTCTAAACTATATTGTGTTTGTTTCTGTGGTTTTTTTAGTTTAAGTTTTGGTCTGTCTGTCAGTTTTATTCCAATTATTTTATTTGGAATTATCTTTTATCCAGTTATTTGGTCTTATTTGTATGTTTTTTTTGTGTGTGTTTTTCCTTTGTCTCTTTTCGTTCTGTCTGTCTGTCTCTTTCTTCCTCTTTATTCATCTCTCTCTCTCTCTCTCTCTCTCTCTCCACCAACGGCCACGTAATTGCTGCGTGAAGTAATACTGCCAATAGGTAGAAAGACAGTCGCAGGGTTGAACACGACCCCGGCGGTGTTGTGGCTGACGTGACAAATTGTTTCTCAGTTGCCAGGTACAATATATCACCCGTGTGTGTGTGTGTGTGTGTGTGTGTGTGTGTGTGTGTGTGTGTGTGGTTTGTGTGTGTTTTCAAGTTCATTGGTTTACTTGTTAAGATCTAGTGTATTTTTTATCTTTGTTCAAGTTCTGTTTAGTTCACTTTTTTTGTTCAAGTTGTTTAAAGTTCTGTTTCTTCCATGTTTAAGTTCTGGTAAGATCAGTTCACTCTTTGTTTAAGTTCTGTTAAATTAATTTTTCATATTTAACTTCTGTCTTATTTCTACAGACAGTTGGCGGGTCGTTACTGTCTCCCCATACCATACCCTAGTATTGACGGAGTTTATATACCTGTCTATCATCTGAATAGAGATTTTTACCCGTCTGCTGTCTAACTTCTTTCCGACAGTTTTAGTGTGATTCCGTCTACCTCCAGTTCTGACGGGTTATGTTGATCATTTACTGTCAACCAAAGGAGACATTTTCCATATGTCTACTGTCTAGTTTCTGTCCATCATTACCGTAAGGGTCGTGTTGCATGTAACCGTACCACTGTTGACTGCCTTAACATGGCCCAACTCCCGTTTTTCTGACCTGACTAATTGATGATTTCGCAGTGCGGATCAACCTGCCTAATGAGGACATCTTGATCTCTTGTTATGTTGAAATACAAGAAAGTTTATATATTTAGCTCTTAATAAAGTAGTAGAGATGTTAAATACAAAAATTTTACCCTCTGATTACGATGACTTAACCTCTTGATTACGGTGACTTAACCCCTTGATTACGGTGACTTAACCTCCTTGATTTCGATGACTTAACCCCTTTGATTACGGTGACTTAACCCCTTGATTACGGTGACTTAACCCCTTGATTACGATGACTAACCCTCTTGATTACGGTGACTTAACCCTCGATTACGATGACTTAACCCCTTGCTTACGATGACTTAACCCTCTTGATTACGATGACTAACCCTCTTGATTACGGTGACTTAACCCTCGATTACGATGACTTAACCCCTTGCTTACGATGACTTAACCCTCTTGATTACGGTGACTTAACCTCTTGATTACGGTGACTTAACCCTCTTGATTATGATAAATTAGCCGCCTGAATAATATGTCATCGTACTCAAGGAAATAGATTACCATTACCTTAATCGGGGTTTTTGACATCATACTCATAGGATTATGTCCATAGTACTCAAGGTGTTGAGATGTTTTCACTGGACTAATTGATTGTAGTAATGGGCTTCAATCACTAAACTCAAGAAGTTAGCACATACTCAGGGTTTGTCATGTACTCAAGGGACTGGCACGTACTACGATTGACACGTGTCCTCAAAGATGTTGGCATTGTACTTAAGATTAATTTTAGGACTGCAAAGTAAGAACATAACAAATAATTTTCTCTCCTACCTTAAGTGTTGATCATCCTATTTTAATGTGAAATTGAGGTTCCTGAGTCACTAATTATGGTGGTTCGGTCTTCCACGTCTCTCACACTGGAACTTTGATATAATTATGATGAATTTATTTACAGCCTCTGAACACCAGCTAGTTATTAGTACGTAGTGGTGTGAGGGCATTAAGGCCA